TATACAGGGTGACCATTTGAAAACGAAACAGAGCTTATTTTGGGGACCTCAAAACATTTACGAAAAAATCCTCGGACCCGTCAATTTTTGATCCAACGAGGAACCATTTTTTTTGCTAGTTTCGCCCCCCTGGAGGCAAAATCATAGCGGGGGTGACAAGTTCCACCAAATTTTTAAATCAAATGGGGGGTCGAGTGATACCTTATTTTAAAGGTATTTTATGTAGATTATAATTCTTAAGATTTAAATCAATTTTATTTTAAGTGCTTAAAGCTAAAATCCATCAAGTAAATGTTGAAAATGTTGACCTTCGACTTCCATGCAATAATACAGGTTTTGTTCAAACCTTTCCCGTATTTTTTGCAAAACTCCTGGGGTGATTTGACGACATTCATCAATTATTATTTATCGCAAGTTGTCTAACGATGTTGGCTGACTAGCATACATTTTAGTTTTTAAATGCCCCCATATAAAAAAATCTAAGGGACTTAAGTCTGGGGAATGAAGAGGCCATTTAATAGCTCCTCTTCTTCCAATCCATTGTCCTGGAAACGTTTGGTCCAAATATTGACGAACCCTTGCAGTATAGTGGGGTGGCGCCTCATCTTGCTGGAATACTAGACGATTTTCCAAGTACTCGTTATTTTCTAGTATCTCCACTAATGCTGGATGAATCGTATTTTCCAATAACTCCAGGTACATCTCTCCTGTTAGATTGCCAGGCAAAAAGAAGGGGCCTAGGATATGGTTACCAAAAATGCCAGCCCAAACATTGAATTTTTCGGGATGTTGTGTATGCACCTCACGAAATATTTTGGGATTTGAATCAGCCCAATAGCGACAGTTGTGACGATTCCCAGTATCGTTTAGGAAAAAGGAGCATTTATTTCAACTGTTTCAGCAAGTGAATAAACCATTAATCACTGTTCAATGTACCGATTTTGCAACTAAATAACTTTAAAGTGCTATTTGTCACTACTATGATTTGACAACAACAATTGACAATCACTATTAAACCAAAATAACACTCTCAACAATAACCAAAATTTAACTAATTCATTTACAAACATGTTTTTTTCATAAGAAAATGTTGACACGTTTTTATAACTTTTATTAGACCCTGTATCGGCTAGGCAAATTAGTAGCGATTTAAAAGTTAAGGGTTATAATCCACATAAAAATACCTTCAGAATAAGGTATCACTCGACCCCCCATTCGATTTAAAATTTTGGGGGCGGTCGTCACCCCCGCTAGCGCTTTGCTCTTAGGGGGCGAAGCTAGCAAAAAAATGGTTCCCCCTTGAATCAAAAATTAACGGGTCCGAGGATTTTTTCGTAAACGTTTTGAGGTTCCCAAAATAGGCTCTGTTTCGTTTTCAAATGGCCACCCTGTATGTAAAACAGTTCAGTTTATAGCTATAGGTAGGTCAACTGTACCTATTCTTCAGGGTAGAAAAATTACTGGAAGTGTAGTTTTTATAACTAACATAATATAAATTATATGTAATTTTCTTTCATAATGAGGAAAATCAAAATCATCATTTGGAGTGATAACCCACAGACGTAACATTTGACATTTGTTGACAGTTATTCCAAAGAGAATTATCAAGAACGTGTTTGAATAAGGGCTTATTATAAACGGGATCTTATGGTGTTTCGTATTGCACTTTAATCCTTCTTAAATAAATAAATAAAACATTTTTTTTCGAATTTTTAAGTTGAAATTTAGAAGTTTTTTAAGGGTGCACATGATGATAACTTGATAGCTAAGAGTGTACAGGGTTGGTGGAAGTATTTTACTAATGTAGATTTGTAGGGAAGATTCAACTTTCCTTTGAGAATTTAAATTCTATAGCGTGGTAACCTCATCATGAGTTCCGGAAATCGGTGCTCTCTCACCTGTATAATAGTAGATAATTAGATAATAAGTGTACGTAGATATATATTCGACGATGAAAGATTAGTATTTCATGGAAATGCTTTTGATGAATTAAAACGCAGAGCGTTTTTGGATAAAAAGATATCTTCAGTTTGTAACTCCTAACAAAGAGCCACTGAGGATGGCCTTTTATCCGAAAGCGCTCTGCATTTTAATTCAAGAGAAACATTTGCACGAAATGCAAACCTTTCATCGTCGAATAACTAGGATGCACTTTGGAGGGTAAGATTCAGATTGTCTCTTAAAAAACATGGTTCAGTTTATGACTAAACGTCATTTTAAAAGGGGCGTTACTTAGTACACAAGATAGGTAGGGATTACTCTAGAGAGAGATTTTTTCGGACATGCGTTTTTGGGCTACAGGAGCGTTAACCATACCGTTCAAAATATAGTTAGAGATTTCGGTCTAAAACTACCAAATGGGAATCACGTAGGTTGTAAAACGCGTTTCCGTCGCGTAAACTATACAAATTATTTCCGGTGATGCAAAAGATTATTTGCGTTAGAATTTGTAGTCATACTCACAGTATTAAAATGTTTTGGCAATGCAAAGGCGTCGATTTATTTCTGGGAATCTATTTTCGAAATAGGGGACAATTTTTCTTTACTTTCTGTAACACTGTTAATAATAACGTTAGTATTGCCTCAGGTTCCAAGTTACTAAAAACAGTCAAAATTGTTCTACAAGTAATTATCAGCTATAAATAAGCGGAATCAATACAAAGTAATAAAAGTAGTAAGAGATTACGATTACACTTTGGCGAATGTCCAAAAGTTATTTAATGTGACAAGCAAATGGAGAGGATGTAGAATAACATATCTCGTGTAAAGCGTTAAAAGAATACGAAAACTCGAAACGATTTCGCAAGAAAACCGATCCGTATAATAAAAATGACGAAACAAACTTGTGTATCTTTTAAGCTACTACTCGCCGCTAATTGATTTTCTTTCGACGTCTCCGAGAAAAGTAGGAGAATTCGTGAGGGTTTAAATGGAGAAATCGGTAATAAGAAAACTTAGACGAGTAAATATGCGCATAATCGCTTAAGAAGATTTTACTAAGAGCCGAGAATGTTATTAATTTGAAATGTAGTTACAAAATTTAATTTCATTAACTCCCGTCTTGTTTCGCTTAAATTTATCTTCCTTCTTAATTACGAAGTTCTATCTAATGTAGGGGTCTCGTACGGTTACCGCAATAGTGGAGGCGCCAGCTGACGTTTCACGTTCACATTTTTGACTGTTGAAGATGGCCAACAAAGTTTACGTTGTGAACAAGTGGTCTTTTTTGTAAACGGGTTATGTTTGTGATAAAAAGGGCGTTGTTAGCCTTAATTTTTTTTCTTTATTAAAGTTTGATTTGGTTTTTCTATCATGACGCGTATATTTTATTTCCAGTAGGTGTAAATGAAGGATTCCC